CAAGTGTTCTCAGTCGAGAACACTCGATTAAGGTCCGTTTTGGCTTCAAAGTCTCAAGACGAATTTCAAACTGAAACGGATGGGGTTTGGCCTAGAAGTTTTGAGGTATTTCCTTTTGTTTTCCTTTTCCTTCTGTTGTTTGTTTTATTTTTGACTGAGTAGTTCGTCATTTTCGTCAAGTAGTTCTTCCTACTCTTTCAGACCCTTTTCTTGGTCCAGTTTCCTTCTGTTGATTAACATGTGTTATAAACAGTTTCGTCGATTAATCCGTTCATGTCTGTAGTTTAGTAGTTCTCATCAAGTTGTTTGGTGTCGTTTGTTTTGTTTTCAGCCATAGGGTTCCATTCAGTATATCCTCAGGGTCCCTACAATTTGTGTTTAAGGCTAGTTTAGAACTATGAATATTGGTTCGAATTCCTTCATTTCATGCGATGTTTGGTTCCCTTTTCTTTGTTGTTCATCATTTTGCACATGAGTTCAGTTTGTTTGTCGATTCAGTACGTTTACAGTGATCATTCTTCTGCCTAAGTTTGATTTAGAATTGTGAATGCAGTCAGTTAATCCCATGTACATGTGCATCTTAGCAGCTTTGCATCAGTCTGCTATTTGATCTAATCTGAGTTCTGAGTTCGAACTGCTAGGTGAATTGAATTAAATTGGTTATGGCTGCTATAGTTTGTTGATTAATTAGGAATCAGTTTAGTTATCTGATTAAGGAGATTGGTTATAGCTGATGGATTTGGTACAGATTGAAAGGGGCCGAGGTAGGATAGTAGTTTAGGGCATTCAGGAGGTAGTTTGGGATTTGAAAAGTTTGAAATGGTTAATGAGAGTGGTCTGCCAGTAAAGGTACCAATATAACCATTAAACTAGTGTATTGTCCCATAATAGTAGGATGAGAATCAATAATAGTATGAGAGGTTTATTGGGAGTAATTAAAGTAAAAAATACCCATAACATGTAAATTAATTATTGAAACGGGACGTATAGTAGTGGGGAGCAAGGGAATTAAATAAAGAAAAGACAAGGGTAGTGGGGAACAAGTGAATTAAAAAGAGAACAAAACATGTAGTAGTGGTTGAGGAATATCATGGCAGAAATACTTTCTTAATTAGTTTAATGCTCCTAAGAGCTGGAAAGTTAATAAAAGTTGGGCTATAAATGAGAGGAGCTGGACACAGTTTAAAGGGGGGATCTTTTTGAGTCTGGTCCGGGTTTTTGTTTTGGGCAGACCTTAGAAGAGAAAAGCAATCTGAAAAGAGAGAGAAAAGAGTTCAAAGTTTGAATACAAACGGGTTTCGAGATAGCTTAAGATGAGTTTGGGTGTAGTGTTGCAGTAGTGTGTTTTTTCTGATTTCATTTCTGAGGTCGCTTGAGCTGTTTAAGTTTGAGTGTTCTGGTTTTAACTGGTTTCAAATCCACCTGGGTTTGCTGCATATGTTACTGGGCTGTTGGTGGATTGTTGTTTGTATTGCTGCTCGTATTACTGTTGTGCTGCTGCTGACTGCACTTCCTTCTTTTGTTCTGTTTTTTTTTTCAATCCAGGTACATATCCTGTAACCTCGAGTTTGTGGACATGAAGTAAAATGCTAAATGAATCTCTGTTGATATGACTTTCGTGATCCATGTAGTATAAAATTCCAGTAGAATTTTCGTTTGTAACTATGGTTGATTTCTCAGGCATGTTATATTTCATATAGGCCTTAGACTTTCACTAGAGTTTATTTGTAACTAAAACTGGACTGTTTGGATTATTGGACTATGGTTATTCATTAGCCTTAGTATAGTTTAGTTTGCTTTTGTGTAGTTTAACTTTTTTTTAAAAAATTAAAAATAGCTAGAACAGGAAACTTCTCTTAGGAGCTATGATTTTCATTCGTATTCACAATTGGAAATTCAAACTATTGTGAGTAATTAGCAGAAAATATCGGTTGTAGTGTTAAGTAGATTCAGACCTGATAAGTAAGTTACTGATTGGAACTTGATTTTAAAATGGATTATGGGCTCCTACTAGTGTAAGATCAGGCATTCTTTGTTTTTTTAAATGAATTAGATAGTTCATTTGCGGATATAAGTCACATACAAAGAAATCCTTAGGATGTAGCGATCTGAAATTGATATGGGTTTTAGGAGTACGAGTTCAGTATGTTTGGTCAACCCTACATAACTCAGGTGACTATGCGTAGGATAATTGAACTCGAAAGTTGGCATGTTAATTTGAATTTAGAATTAATCATTTGTTTGCCAATAATTAGGCCGTTGTGAATAAAATCAGTAGGCCAAGATTCAAATAAAATCAGTGGGAGATCAGGGATCAATTGAGGGCCTAAACGTGACTGCTTCTGCTCAAATCGGACTTGGTCCTGACTCTACTTAAGGCCCAACGTCAGTTAGCCCTCCCCTTTCTTAAAGTTGACAATTTTTCCTTCCTTCGGGCTGCCTTTGAGGCCCAACCTGCTGAAAATCTTAGTGTGCTCACTAAAGCTTTTTATTCGATATTCTGATGTAATACTTTCAATGATGGTTTATTAATAATGCTAATTAATTAGGACCTTTCTTTTATCTTTAGAGACAATAAAGGTAGAAAATCATAGTCTCTTTAGGATTGACCTTTAAATAATAGATGAGACGAGCCTCGCCAAATAAACGCATAAATTGCGGGGACCTCAATAAATGGTAAAAATAAAACATTTAGAATTCGGGATGGGCACATTTATGTGACCCAAATCCAAATTTCAACGGAGTTGAAATGTGTCAATAACCACGGGTGCATTGATGCGACGTGGTTCGAGATGTATTTTCACGACGTTACAATTCTCGTTAAAATAATAATAATAAAAGCGGTAAAAAAGTTAAAATTTGCACATAGGTTCAACATGTATTAAAATCAGATAAATAAGCCGAATATGACAGTTGAGCGACCGTGCTAGAATCACGGAACTCGGGAATGTCTAACACCTTCTCCTTGGTTAACAGAATTCCTTACTCGGATTTCTGGTTCGCGGACTGTAATACATAATCAATCTTTTCCTCTATTCGGGATTCAACCGGTGACTTGGGATACCATAAATATCCCAAGTGGCGACTTTGAATTAAATAATAAATTTCGTTTCAATTGTCCTTTAATTGGTAAAACTCCGCCTACACCCCTTTACGGTGGCGCGGTGAAAAAGGACGTGTGACAATGCGTGATGTTTCGCATTCGAGGATGGTCAACCGGCAGCTGACACGTGTCCGAAGTCAGAACGACACAACTGATGGGATGTTTCATTGTGTATCGACCCGATTACAGCGTATAGAGGAAGGAACTGGGGTCAACTAATCACTTCTCGTCACTTTGATAAATCTGCTCTCCGGAAAGTGAGAAGACTATCCGTGTACGGGTAAAATCCTGAATAATGTTACCCCTGATTTCTCGGTAAAGAAAAGAGAGGGATGTACGATCTAACACAACCTCGGGTAAAGCCGAAGGGTTCTTCGTTTCGAAGCCCGGGGAGGACGAACGGCGCGTCCGGGATCGGACAATACTGAACATCTGGTCTCGGCAGAGTGAAGGTTAGAAACTAAGGACAATGAGAAATGGTTAAGCACGATAAGAGGGGAGACATAATATCCGCCCTCAATCGGATGTTATGCAGTAAATCCTACCCGATATCAACTACAGAGCAACCTTTACTGGGAAAAGAAGATTTTTACCTTGTTTAGACTTGTACTATGATTGAAATTCCCCTACTATATAAAGGAGAGAACTTTTTCATTTTAAAACCACTATTGATATGCATACCAAAGCAATAAAAGTTCACTTTGTTCTCTAGCTACTGTTCATATTGTTTTTCAGCTGTTTAATTATTCGGTTACAACCGAGCCAGTCTCGAGGGCTCGATCGAGGTCGATTTTCAGTGTTCATCCAAAAGGCCAGGTTGAATTGTTTATTATGTTCGGTTTGATTATTTTTCTTATCTTTACTTTAATTAATTTTTGTTCATAAATCGTTCGTGTTAAATTAAATCATGTATTCTTTAATCGCGTACAAATTTAACTGTTACTCCAGGGTAAACATAGTTATAATTCATAATTTAATGTAGAGTGATGAATGTTATTACCTTTTTTTCCAACGAAATTCAAATGATTGATTGTTTTGTTATAAGTCAATTCCAGTGTAAAAATACTCATTGGTGTGAATTTGTTACTACACTAACAGTCCTTTGACTTGACAGCTAAATTTTCAGTTATTCGACAATCATCATCACTACCCTTGAGTCAAAAATGTTTGGTGTACAAATTAGAACTTAACAAAGGGAACTTTTCCTTCCTATCGCATTGAATTTACAAAACAAATATGCGTTCAAGCATCTTTTATTTGCCATTTTCTTACTTTACGGGACATGTACACATTTGTGGTTCCTTTATTCTGATAAACTTGAATTTATTATTGTTTTTTCTTCTTTTCGATAAGTAAGTTTCTCACTCATTTTTTCCTTTATGAGGGAAGTTCCTAAGCTACACAAATTGTAACATTCATGTGATAGCATTTAATTTGCTATATAATTTCTATATATAGATCGGTCACCTGCTAACTTTCTTTTAACCTTATTTTTGGTTTGTTGCCGAAATTATGTGAATGATTGTGGTATTAGATTAGAATTTATCATTTTGTTTAGTATCTAAAAGGAAGAAAACACTGTCGATTAATTAGAGATAATTTCCCTATATTTCCTTATATGTGTAACAATGGGTATGATCTGCATGACATTTCTATATATGTGTAGCAAGGATGGATATGATCTGCCGACATTTCTTATATGTTGCAATTAGAATGAGTTAAAAATCAAAATTGGTGACATTTGATAAATGTCACTAATTAAATAAATGGCACTAATTATTTGCTGACATTAATGTAAATTTCGGGAATTTTCAAAAGTGAAATTTATGATATTGATTTAAGTATCAAATAAATGTCAGCAATTCATTTTGTGACATTTATGTAACTTAAAACTGCATTTAAAAAATATATATCTTCATATCCTAACTTTCTTGTACATCCTTTTGAGATGTGGTGGTATCAAAACTCATGCATATAATAACTAATTAAAATAGTCCGAACACACAGGCATATAGTGACCTACATATGAGGGCACACAAGCCTGAATGAATTATCAAAGAAGCAAAATTCTAATGAATCTACACATTCACTATATATAAAACTCAGCAAACTCGTGTCTGCGGTTTCAACTTTAAGAGATAATGTCTCTGCATAGAAAATTTTCAATTCTTAGTGTTCATGTTGCGGTTGACATTATCTTTGATAGCCTCTTTGGATTCTTCGGCCTTGCCAATCACTGTTTCTTTCATCTTCTGTGTGGTGTCCTTAACAGATCCCCATGCCTCTTGGGCTGTTTCTTTTGCTTTTCCAACCATGTCTTGTGCTGCATCCGCCACCTTATCTCCCATTACCTTCGACTTCCGCATAGCCTTTCATATCAAATTAATGTTTAGCAGATATATAATAAAGGATGATATAGACATTATTAGTAGTAATTAATTACCTCATCAGCAGCATTATCAGTCTCGTTTTTGGCTTCTTGGCCAGCCCATTTGGCCGCATCAGCTCCTTTTCCAGCTGCGTTACGAGCCTCTTCTTTAATTGCCATCGCTAGGTGGCGTTTACCTACCTGTTACCCACATATCAATCCAATTACAAATTGATCTATAATAGGTACAACTTCAATACAAACTATAGTAATAATCGCTGATAATATAAAAATTTATTTATACAATAACTTAAATTAGTATATAAACATTAATTGATCACCTGGAAAGGTCTAGTTGGTGCACCAAGAAAAACTCTAGAGCTCAAAGGGGTATGACCAATAATAGCTCTCGCATTTTGGAGCTTTGAAAGAGTAGGTGTTAGAGCCATGCTTGCCATTTCTTTTGAATTTGTTTATTTCTTTTCGTCAATTTGATTTCGATATTATTTTTATTCTACAGTTGGTAGTTGTATATATAGGGAAGGATCGAGGACAAGGATAACACGCACAAATAGAAAAATAGTGGAGAAAAAGTCCGTTGAGGTTAGTTTCCTGCCTATTTCCCGAATTTTAAGTTGCCAATCACTAAAAACTAATTACAAAGAGTATTGTACGGATCTCTTCCTCCCTCTCACTGCCACTAATCTTTTTTGTTGTCTGCAAAAGGAAACAAAGGGATAATCAATAATGAACGTAATTTTCAAATTAAGTTTTACTGTATTTTGCTGATCTTTTTTTTTAAAGCTAATATATCATTAGGCTGGGTGCTTAGTGATGTTTTTTATTAATAATAATCAAAATAAAATAACATGTGTTTGGAGGTCTCACAAAATGAAAATGTGTAAAAAAAGAAATTACATGGCGCCAATTATCAAAATCATGTGTAAAGAACTCCTTTGATTATACAGAAAGAACTAAGAGACATAATCCTTGAGAAGGCCAATTTGAACATGAATCGCAAAACTTCTTGAATAGCTGCCTCTCTTGACGCTTGGTTCTGGGCATTTGCATATGTGATCTTGAGCAGTAGGCAACTACATTAGGACAATATGACTGAAATACAAGCTTGATTTGGACTGCCTTACAAGCAAATTGCGCGCAAACCATTCCATTATGCAAGTCCATGTCAAGACATTAGGTGTGTAGTTGCCATTTTGCCTACATGTGTTACGCTTCCATACCTTATCGTTCTTATTGAGACCTTGTTATAGCTAGCTTACTCCTGTGTAGTAGATGCACCATGTACCTGGAAGGTCCTCCAACAGTTGCTAAAACGACCCGCATACAGATGCAGTGGCGGACCCAAGATTTTATGCAAGCGAGTTCAAATAGAAACTAAACCCTCGGTCGCATCTGACAATAGAAACACTACCAGGCTTAACAAATATAGTTTATCTTTTCCTCTTTGTTTCGGTTCATAACAAAACCTCCAAAAAAAAGTTTTGCTCGCTACTTCTTCTTTTTTCCGTATTTTGAGGCCACCTTTTAAAAACATATAAAGATTAATTTTAACAACTTTTTATCTGCTTTCTTAGATTTAACAATTTATTAAATTTAATTTTATTGAACAAACATCGACATTGATACCAAAATACTAATTCTACTTATTTGTTTAAATTAATTCAAAATTATTTTATTTTTATAAGCTAATTATTGCAAACAATAACAAATAGAAGAGAATTATAATCTAAACTAGAATAACTGTTAGGTAAAAAATCTTCGTTCTCTCCTCCCTAAGGATTTGAGTTGGAAGTGTAGTGTAATCTCCATCCCCTATAGTTTGCTTCATTCCTTCATAATACATGCCCTCCTCCTTTTAACTACAAGGTTCTCCCCCTCATTCTTCCTATCTTCCACTTCCATCATCATGTAATATTTGGTTTGACAGTTCTAACCCTTATATAGGGTGTTTGAAGCTTGTCATTATTCAATATCTTTTTCACGTGTGTGTCCAGTTCCCAAAAGAAATATACCTTTACAATGTGTTGCTGATCCAATGTCAAATTAGCTAAATGATCAGTTAACTTGTTACCTTCCCTTAACACGTGAAATATCTTAAAGGCGCCCTTAGACAATAGTGTTTTGATTTCATCCACTTGATTAGCAATGCTCCAAGGTGGTTCACAAACTTCATCTAGCACTCTCTGAAAATGTTGGTTTATGTTTAGTTAACAATGGCATGCTGAAAATGTTGGTTTATATTTAGTCAACAATGGCATGCCAATTGGAAGAGTTGGTGGAAAGAGTTGGTGTGGATGCTAGGAGGAAGCTTCCTCCTTTGATGTCACCCATGACATCAAGAGGAGGTAGTTTGATGTCAGCAATGACATCAAGAGGAGGTCTTTACCTCTATAAATAGATGCACTCCTTCACTTGTAGAAATCATCCCAAAATAATACAATACATTGTAGTGAGTAGAGAGTTAAGAGAGAAATTCTCTTAAGTGTAATTGGGAAATCTCCCCTTCCTTTGTTAATATTAAAAGGG